GTTTAATGATTAGATAGAATCTCTGCAAAGCTCAAAAAAACATGTATTATACCTTGTGAAATGGACCTATTTCCTGTTTACCAAAATACGACTTAAATTCTATAAGGTCATGTTACTGATAACAAACCGTTGTTTAGGTACATCTTGCATAGTTCTATCCAAGGAACTTGAAGTCTTTGGTATACCAGAATCATTTTTAGCTTTGTCAATAGAAACTCTAGTGTGAGAAAGTGATGTTTTTATGAAATTATAAAGGAAGATTATTATTATGTATATTAATATAGAATAGAATTAACGGTCTTCAAAAACTTATATTGGACACGAGTCAATTCATCGACACGTGATCATATATGTGATCATGTGTAAAATTACGGACTAATTAAGTCATTTTAACATGAGCAATATTTCTATAAACGTTTTAGATGACATTTTAATTAATCACGATAATGAATCATTACATTTTGCGTAAGCTCTTCCAATCCAAATCAAGCTACTTTCCAAGTTTTCCATCATGACAAGGTTGACTAACTTACAAAATTGTCTCACCTATAGGTTGTATGTTATTACTAGCAATTTTCTTATTTGTAGTTAGAACTAAATAATTGTTTTGATAGATGAGAATTTGAAACTTGATGAAAGCTCTAAAACCATTCTTAGTTTATGGGCGAAAACGTTACGAGAAAAACACCGAAAAGAACAATATGACGACGATGAAATTTTCAAAGACCCCTTATTGCTGATCGAGTGGAACGAAGGCGGAATCTTGGCGAGAAACACTATCAACCCCCAGTTCACCAAGGACGCATTGCTTGCATGTATATATATAAATATTATATCACTACGGATTTATTGCGCGATACATTATATAAAGCAACTATTTGTCTGATTGGTTCTAATTTTCTTTTGATTAGTAATACGTGCACAACCAGGTTACGCTCCGTTTCCTCCACGGGCTCCTTCTGATTGCGCGTTTTCATTCAATGATAGTCAAGCTTTGATAAATACGATTGGAGTGCTATCTTCTAATAACTGGTCGCGACGAATAAACGGAATGCCAGACGCCGGAAGATGCTACATGATTGGCGTTCCTAAAAAGGGACAACTAGAAGTCGATGAGCACTTCTATGTTTTCAATGCTTAAACCCACGTTTTTGTGGTTTTATAATTCTTCCAGGAGTTAAAAATTCCCTTTTTAATTTCTTGCTTTTTTTTTCGCAATAATGACTGCAGTGACACTATATCAACTTATAATTCATGTTATTTTTATTATTTTATTATGCAATTAATGTCAAAATAATAAAATCACATTGTGAACGAAACTTTTTATAAAATAATGAATTAAATAATTAAAATATATAACACTTTTCAAGGGAAGGGGTGTGCGGTTCATGTGCCATATAATGCGAGTCCCTAAGTCATATTATTTCGTTGCTTTCTTACATTTCTACAGCTAAACTTTTTTTCTATCGCTAACTATGAGAGTCTCACATCCCCTTCTACAAACACCAGACTTCCGAAATAATCTATCCCCACCCTTATCAAAATTTTCACAATCCGTATCACTCCTACTTATATAAAGTATTAAGTTCCACAGGAAAACTTTTCTAAGATGAAGTCCTACAGCATAAATTGGAACGTAGTAAAAAAAATAATGCAATAGAATGTTTCTGAATTACTTCTACCCATAATTATGATATTCCTTAATACATTATAATAATGATGTTCCGTTTTTTTGTCGCCAGTACGATACTGCACCAAACATGATAGAAAATTTTACTGCGCTGACGATGCACATGGAGTCGATCAGATTAAATAATATCCATCCTGAGAATGTTTCCGTTTATTAATTAATTACCGTTTTTAAAGAAGTGATTGAAAGTTCAATAAGATTGATATCGTTATAAAGTTTTGAAATAATTTATTCATAATCGATTCATTAATGAAAATATATGATTTTTGCGTTTTGAATAAAATTTTTTTTTTTTTTATTATGCTTGATAGAATTTTAATGAGTTTCGTTGATAAATTCCGAGAATGACTATTAATTTTGTTTTATCAGAAATTTGATAACACGTAACGCGTAAAAACAGATCATACTATCTGCCAGGACAAATACTCATTTTTTTCCTGTTCTCAGGCATAATGTTTCTGATCTCTTAAAAATTCTTTCACATTATCATTAAATTAATATAAATAATGGAGTCTATGCTAAAAAAAAAAAAAAATGCTGCATCGCCCTGAAAATGATAGTTGGATTATTTGCCGGCCTTATTACTTTTTAAATTTGTCACATCCTACCCTCCACTTTAAAGTATTCCGGGAATATCTTAGCGGAAGTATTTTTAAGTGATTTTTCAGGGAGAGCTAGGGTAGTTAGTCTGTGCTATAATTAAATTAAATAGAAAAGTATATATATATATATTTTTTTTTAAAAATTTAATAAAGGTAAAACTTTCTTGTTCCAATTTGTATCCCATCGTTCTTGTTGAAATATGGATAAATGATTTCTCATTTGTTCAAGCTTTGATGCATTTGCTGGATAATTAGTAAACAAATCCTATACAATTTTATAGAGTAAATATCTAATACAATAACAAGATTAATTAAGAACAAAATTTAAGGAGGACTTACTATTAACTGTTCAACCAGCTGGGTTTCGCTCTTAAATATTAACCCATTCCTATTATGTTGCATCAACTCGCCAAGACTAAGCAAACATTTATATTTGAATTACAAATTGAATAAACAATTTCAATTAAAATTTTCAATTAACATGACCATGATCCACCCATGACTCACCATTCAAATTCGACTGCACATACGGGCAATCCACATCCAAACATGTCAACTACCTTCATAGGAAGGTCCATACCTGATGAGGATGTATGTAGACAAATTCCCAAGTCCGCAGATCCTACATTTAACAAATTGATTCCTATCAATCATATAATTTATTAACTATTAACATACTCAAATTGAATACCATACCTAATAATAAAGGATAATCCTCTGCTGCCAACCACATGGTAACAATTTTCACATGTCTTGTCGTCATTTTACTGATTTCTCTTTCATATTTTTCTTTTAAAGGACCTTTTCCTGTAATTACAAAAAGTAACTTTGGAAAAGTTTTGTTAGAACGTTGTGATGAATGTCTCTCTACTTCTTCTTCATATCTTTGTGCTCCATTTAATAACATTGAGAAATCTTCATCGGCAGTCCAACTTGTACTACTGACAATTAATATCGGTCGATCTTGTCGATATTTTGCAGTTGTATCAACTGAAGATTTTATTGTTAAGAAAGTTTTGTTGGTGGATGATGGCGGTAAAAAGTCTGAACCGATTGATTGTTCTGATACTATCTTTTCTAAATTAATCTTTAATAGGAACTAAGTTAAAGAGATATATATATATATATATATATATAATGAATTAGTGAATAAAGACAAAAGGAAAAAATAGCCGTTGATCTTGAACTTGGTTGGTTATCACATATATACCTCATGGATTTCATCAAGGCTTAATCTTCTAAAATGTGTTGGAGGTTTATCATACAATGTAGTAATAGAACCTCTAAGTTAACAAGAAGGATAAATTATTAATTGTTTATCATTCATAAATATTCAATTTTATTTGATGACACTCACTTGACTCCCCATTTAAACATCAACTCTCGATGTATAGCCCCAGTGACAGTCAAATGAGCATGAGCACGATCCCCAAAAAGTTGTTCGTACCGCTTTGCTATCTTCACAAAAAGACTATTTTGACCTAATCTTAAACCTAAAATTGTATATCCAAAATTATGCCAATCAATAATTAATTTCGTTGATTGTAACCAACATACGGTTTGAACGATCATCAATGTGGGTATCGAAGGGGGATTCTATTAAAAATCAAAAAAAAAAAATTTTTTTTTATATAATGTAAAAATGGAAGTCAAGGCAAAGAAATTAAATAGTAAATTACCTGAACAAGAATGTAATCAGGTCTATTTATTCTGAAGAGAAGAGTCCAATATAAAAGCAAAATTTGTGTGTAAACCTTTATTGGCGCAAAAATGAGAAACATTATCTTTGGTATATTGTCTGGAAGATGCCAAGGATGTGATATATAATGGATATTAATCTTTGGATTACTGGTGATAGAATTCAAAGGTGTAGCACCTGATGAGAAATCGATGAGAAATTAATTAGATGGCAGAATTAATATTTTTTCGGGTTACAATAAAAGGGATTGTTTTCAGCGAAATTTTTTTTTTTTTTTTAAAAAAACTTTAACCATATATATATTGTATGTTAACCTTAATCAAAAAATGCTTACCATCATAACCCACGAAATTAACCGTCCAGCCATTTTGAGCAAAACTCAAAGCATGATATTGCATTCTTGGAGAACGTCCAATATCACCAAACACGACAAGTGTAACATGTTTCGAATCGTTTAAACTAACTGTCACAGAACGTCTTTGAAAATATAAGCCAAGGCCTCGGAAGAACACAACCAGAGTTGCTAATATGACTAATATTCTAGTTTCCGAGAATTGAAATAATTCTGAACCGTCCATTCCTCTCGATGAACGTCAGCTAGATAAGATATAAAAATGCGGAGAATTAGTAATATGTCAGCGAAATGATGTACAATGAAACCTAATGGTCTGTTAACTCAGGAATGTTTCATGCGTATAAGAACATTCTGGTTTTTATCCATCAAGTCATTTTTCGGACTGGTGCCAACAATTTATTCATCATTATAACAAAAACTGCTGTTGAATTACAATACAATAACGTCAATTACCTACCAAGAGAGATTTTTGAAAAGAGAAATCTGATAACTGCAAAAAAATTTAGCCAATTATAATATTGCCGCATTCAATCAATCATGGTTACACAAGGATCGAAAAATCGAAGGTGTATACCCAGTTTATTTCATATAATATTTGCTGACGTAATTAAAAAAAAAAAGTTGAGAAGAACGGGAAAACTAATTCCACGCTTAAGTTTTGTAACATGAATTTTTTTAATATTTGAACTATATTGAAACTAACTAAATAACGCGTTCTTATCGTAAGAGGGGAAAAGGGAAAAAATCTATAAATTTACATAATAATCATAAAATCTCTACGATTCTCTCGTAATTGACAAATTAATTTTCAACGGCACCACTCCTACACAATCTTTCTCTAACCATCATAACTTTATTATCCAACACTGAAGCAGCCGATGAAGTTGTTAGTCTATTCATAATCTCTTTTAAACTTTTATTCTCAAATTCCATTTCTTGTACCCTTCGCTTTAATGATTGATTTTCATTTGATAATTTTTGAATTAAATCATTTTTTTCTCGTTCCATTTGTTGTTTCTTTGCTCGATATTTCTTACTTGCTAATAAGTTTCTATGACGACGATCCTGAAGAATTATTTGTGACATAGGATCATCGCCTCCACCTAAAGGATCAGCTTGAGGGGGTTCCTCTTTTGAGGAGATACAAACTTTTTTGTTGCTGTTGCTGTTGCTGTTGTTACAG